AATTGGTAAAAATAAATTTGTAATTATACCAATTTTGTGATTATAGAGGAGGTGACTATAGAGGGGTTTGACTGTATCCTGCAGCAATTTAGAGTGCAAATTTTGATTTATACCAGGTATATAAATATGGAAATATCATACTTATTATGTACCTGGGCATATAACATCAAAAACATAGGAGTACTCGTACAGTATACCACCTACATGCATACTCCGGGTACTAAAATGGGCTAGGAAATACTCTGGGTACACATGTTGGAAAAATACTGTATGTAAATATGTGCAAAGTGCGCTGAAAATTTTTAATACTGTTGTTAATAGGAATGGGTAAGTCAGCATTTTTTGCAGTCTACAGTATTATGCAAGCTTGTCTGAGTTATGCAGCTAACCTGAATTTAAACATCATACTGCATAGCCTCACAAAAATTCTGCACAGTGACTTATCTTTAGTTATTAATTACTGTACATAATTTGTTATTTAGCAGTTCAATTTATTTATTTATTTTTATTTTTTTTTGGTTTAATTTGCAGACTAAATTGTAAATTAAAACATGAAATTTCAAATCATTTTTTCAAATCATTTTTACTTATATATAAATTTTATTAAAATCAAAAATGAATCGCAATTTTTTTAATAAATAAAGTTTAATCTAACTTTGTATATATGTTACGGGTCATGTAAGTTTTTAGGTTAAGCTAAACTTAACCCTGTCAACTTAATCAAACTCGAATTAGCACAAATTAATTAATTTGAGCCAGTCAAGTAGTTCAACTTAAACTATTAGTCGAAACAATAAACATAAAGCTAAATACCGAGTATATAAATAATGCTATTTTATTTATTTTGTAGATTACGCTGTCCACCATAACATCTCTGCTACACTTTAAGCTATGTTTACCACAAGCACAATGTTTAGACAGACAATTTCCGTACAATAACAAATTGCTTAACTTACGAATAACCACCTTAATACCGGCTGTATGCGAAAAAGCTAGCTGGATGGCACTTCAAGATAGTTAGACGGTTTTAATGAGCCTATATCACATGCACAGAAACAAGTATCTAAAATAATATTAGCACAACCAAACTTATATAATGTCCACTTCAAGTATTTTGCATATTTTACAAGGCATAAACATCCGATCAATATTAGTTCGATCAATATTTGAAAACAAAACCTTAAACATAATTTCCAATTTCAAATGTAACTTTTTTTGGATTCAATTTGAGGGTTTTTTTGATCCATTTGTATAAACTTGATTTTTTTTAATTATTAGGCATATTTAAATTTTAATGCATTTTTCTGCACGTTCACAACTAATTACTGTATTATTTTGATACTTAGGGCTTTTGATTAAATAAATTCAGAAAATATATTTTAAATTTTCTCTTGATATAGAATTATATTCGCGAAGTAAACTAGTATTAGAATATTCCATTATTTTGTAAATAATAAATGGCAAATGAATTTAATTATATTCGCGAAGTAAACTAGTATTAGAATATTCCATTATTTTATAAATAATAAATGGCAAAATGAATTTAATTATATTACAAAAATACATTCGTTACAAAGCAGTAGTTTAATTATTACGTCGCATAATAATATTCTTAACGTTATAAATAATATTACATATTTAACCTGACATAGTTAAATTAACTTAACCGAGTCAAATTAATTAATTTATTCTGATTGTTTGATTAAATTGACCAATCAAGTTTCACATAACCTAAAAACAAACATGACCTGTCACATATATATAGACGTTTAAAATATATATGATTTACGGTAGATTGAATGTCGAGAATTTTCTCCATGATGATTTAAAATGTCATGTGGCGAAATTATTTTCGCCTGGCGAAGATTGTTTTTACTGTATTTTGACAAAATTATTTTTGCCAGTTGAATTATTATAGAAAGTTGATATTATATATTTATAAATATAAAGGTTATAAAAATGAATCAAGTTTATCATTTATTATTTATCGGATTCAGCCCTTTAAAACGCCGATTAGAGTTGGTCACCGAAACCTTTTTTGCCAAATCCGAAAGTTTCGGGTTTCGGATTATAGTTTCCGAAACCTCA